TGCCACACGAGTGCTGGTACGTTATTCGCCTAACTTTCATGAGAAGGACGTTGAATCTTCCCTAGATCCGCATGTGCAGTCGCCGCCAAGTTACTGTCTATCTACGGGAGAGCAGTAGAAGACACGACCCAATAAATTGCGCCAATCCAACCTTAAGACTCGGTGATCCAGCGCGTCACAGAGACACACACGCACACACACACACACACACACACACACACACACAGTTTCTTATCATTTAACTTCAAGTGCCCCGGTTCAGATTTGCAGTTCAGACCCCCCCCTGCTGAGTCTCTGGGGCGGTAAATCAAACGCCCCTCGTCACAAGCGCTCCCTTGGACCACAGATGTCTATGAAGAATAGTTAAACAGTACAAATGCTACATTTGATGTTACTGCCAATTTACTGTTGAATTAAGTTGAATGAATGAAGAGCACACACACTCACTCACTCACTCACTCACACCGCTTCAGAAAGAGGGAAACCTGCGCAATTAAGTTAAATCTTGCAATTAAATTAGCCTCTTTCTCTCTCACACACACACACACACACACACACACACACACACACACACACACACTAGTATTAGAAGTGTACCACATGATGAGGACCATGTGATGTTTGCAGTAGCTGTTCTGGACCTGCAAATGAAAATCATGGAAACCCATCAGCAGTAGCCATCGCAGTAATACATGTAATTAATGAAGTAATTAACATGTGATATTATTAATGTAGATTTCTCCGCTTTCGTTTAGCGTGCAAATACTTCAGGCACAAAGAAGGACACATTATAGAACGCTTGGCTGCTTAATTTGTGGTTCTCAGAGGCCACAGAGAGTTGTGAGGCTGCAGCCAACAAGTCCTGCAGACAAAATAAACTCAATTAAAACTTATTCTCCATTGAGTGAAGTGCAGCCGACGCCGGGTCGCAGCATCTACATGGATCTCCTGTCCATCTGATCTCTAACGTTGAACAGTGAATAGCTCCTGAATCTGATCCGCTGCTGTATCAACGTGTACGTGCACATGCACATCTTCCCCCTCCTTACCCCGCTGCCGGCCCTTCCTGCGACCTTTTGGTGATCTCAGCCCAGATAAACACGGAGGAGGAAAAAGCATCACGCGCGTGTACGAGAATGATCACTCGACAAAACAAGTCACACGGACGCACACTCGTGCCGAAGGCCCCTTTCCTTCCTCCGCCGGCTCTAAATTTAGTGACATCTGCACCTGAGGGTCTGAGCGCGCTCAGTAAGCAGCGGATGAGGGTGGGGGGGGGGGGGGCTGTGACCTCACAGGAAGCGTGTGTGTGTGTATAAGAAGTTTGGGGCTTGTTTCACCTCCATGTATTTTTTTCAATACGCTGCATAAATAGGCAGGATGTGGTGGGATTCTTAAGACGGGCCTGTGATTTATTGACCCTGAAGGACCCCGGAGCCCGAAGCAGTGATGTCGTCTGGTGACTGAAGAGGAACGGTTCCTGCTCACGTTCATCTACTTTCATGATTTGGTCTTTGCAACAACAGCAGCCAGAGGGTTCTCTTATATTTTATTCTCCAAATTCATTTGATCTGGGAAAGTGCTGCATAAATAAAATTGCGGCCATTATTATTATTTATGCCCCCCCCCCCCCGGCA